CTAAAGTTATTGGTATTTCTGGTTCTGCTGAAAAATGTAAGTGGGTTGAATCTATCGGTGCCGATGTATGTGTCAACTATAATGATGCAGATTACCAAAAGCAATTATCTGCTATCATTGGTGATGATTTTGTTGATGTGTACTACGATAATGTTGGTGGTGAAATTTTGAGTCTCATGCTCTCCAAGGTCAAGCCTTTCGGTCATGTTGTGGCATGTGGTGCAATTTCTGGCTATAATGATGTAGATAAGATGCAAGTCACAAGTTGGACTGAAATTACTAGGAACCGTCTTACCGTTCGTGGTTTTGTTGTGATTGATTTTGTTAAAGATTTTGCTGCAGGTATCAATGTACTTTCTGGTGCAATTAAGGAAGGAAAAATTAATATTACCGAAGACACGTCTGTAATTGACTTAAGCAAAGAAAAGAACGTTTTGGCAAAGGTTCCGGAAACATGGGGCTTATTATTTAGTAAGAAAAAGCCAAATGGAAAATTAGTTACGAGAATTGCCTAGATAAAATTTGATTTTGATGCTACTTGGTGATTTATCTCAGAAGACTACGTATATATATACTATAATACATGAACTTTAATATGGTGAACTTATGAATATTTCAAGGGTTTAGTATATTATAGTATTCATTATGGCGAAATAAAAAAATAGTGCGTGTATCATCGAAAGGTAAACAAATACAATTTATCATTTGTGGTTCATCTTGTACCTCTTTACTGCAAGCACTAGTTTAACTTTCAAGGATCTAAGAAAAGTCATAATCAAGCTGTTTATTATATCTAAATACTGTGTCGAACAAACCTAGAAGTGTTTTCAAAGCATTAGAAATTAATAGAAATAAAAGTATACCAACTTGAATACATCGATTTAGCGGGACACCTGTTGCATAGAGATATGGTATTGAGATAATGTTAAATATTAAATATACACCAGAAGAATCACCTAGTCCAAATAGGTGGAGCAGTTCTCGAGAAGAAAATTCTGGGCTGGATAAGAGCTCTACAGGAAGCAATAAACGTCTATCAAAAAATATTTCCAAACGAGATGCTTTGGAAAAATATCAGGAGCATGATGATGGTTCCAGTTACATGAATGATTTCGATATTGAAGGAAGCGAAGATTTGAATCTTTCTTATTCCAAGTTTTCTCGTATATCGGGAGTGTCATTTATAAGTGGTAACGAATCCAACAGACTGAACTCTATATCAGGTTCGCCTTTCGTCAAGAACATTCAAACAAGGTTGCAGGACATCAAGTTTGAAGAAGAACGAAAATTGAATAGTCGAGATGCTGTTCGACCAAGTAGATCTAATAGGCCGAAAAGTTCACACGCGAGAGATAAGCTTATGTATCTGATTGATGAAGGTGCTCTGAAGAATGCGAATGATGAAAATGAATCTCCATTTATAGACCATGCTCCTATATTAAAAACACCAGTAGAAAAAATAGGGTCGACTTTTGAAGATAATTTTGACTTGAGGCCAAAGAAGTACGACCACCTACAAAACCCCAAAATCAGAGGATCTTCAGAGCAGTCGGAACACTTTGCAGCTAACGGTTCCAAAATCCCTGTTAGGTCAACTCCAGACAAACGGAGACAGCAAAGGATGTCTTCAGTAAAAGTATCATTAACTCCAGCTCAACGGTTCGAAAAGAGGCCAGGTACCAGACTGACTAATGCGTTGGAGAATTTTCAATTTTCAACTTTAGTTGGTAGAGGTGCTTCTGCTAACGTATACAAAGGTATCAATTTGAAAACAAACCAGGTGGTAGCTATAAAACAAATCATTCTAGAAAAAAACCAAAATGTGATGGAATTAATGGGAGAAATCGACCTATTAAAAATTTTAAAACATCCCAATATCGTGAAATATCATGGGTTTGTAAAAACTTCAACCTCTTTAAATGTTTTTCTTGAATTTTGCTCCAAAGGTTCTTTGCGACAATTATACCAACATTCGAACCATGGTTTACCTGAAGTTCAAATAATCGGATTCGTAAGACAAATCTTACAAGGCTTAAACTATTTACATGAGCAGGGGGTTGTTCATAGAGATGTAAAAGCTGCAAATGTCCTAATTACTGAAGATGGATTTATAAAGTTAGCAGACTTCGGGGTTGCAACGAAAGTATCTTCTCAGCATGAAACCGTTGTTGGAACACCTAATTGGATGGCTCCGGAAACTGTTTTGGGTGGTGAAGGTCTTTGTACGGCTTCTGATATTTGGTCTCTAGGTGCTACAATTATAGAATTATTTACAACTAACCCACCTTATCATGATTTAAATCCCATGGCTACTTTACATGCAATAGGCACAGATGACCACCCTCCGCTACCAAAGAACATTTCTCCTTTGGCTAAAGATTTTTTATTAGAATGCTTTCAAAAACAACCTAATCTAAGAATCAGTGCTAAATTGCTCTTAAAACATAAGTGGGTAACTAAATCAACCAAAGAAAAGCATATTGCGGATGTATCTTCTTCGGCTCCTAATTCTAATAGCCATACTATTAACCCAATATCTATTCATAATTACTCTGAATCTAACGAAGAAAATTGGGAGAATGACTTTCTTGATATGAATCTACCAAAAATTAAAGCTTCATCCGCAGAAACTATGCAATCACAGTCTAGTCGCAATGAAAGTCGAACGAAAATACCGAAGAGTGAACTATTAAACAAATTTTTGGATAAGAATGAGGATTTTGATTTTGAACAAGAGACACCAACAATAATTTCAAAGTTTGACAAGACTGATGATTTACAAGTAAATTTGGAGTCAAATAATCTTGATGAATCTCCTCATGAAGAAGAAGATAATGATCCATTTTTAGAGATTGATATTGAGGACTTCAATACCAATGAATTGGAAGTGCAAAGTAAAATGGAATTTTTGACAACAAAGTTCTCAAATAGAGTTGATCTTTGTCATTCTGGTAATGACGAAGTTACTTCCTCGTTAATCAAAATAACCGGACGGATGTTACATTTGGTAAAAAAATATAGAATACTGCATGACGTTTTAATTAGAGACCACGGGATTCTTTCCTTATTAGAATTACTAGAGAATGCACCTGAACTCCCAAAGCATCAGAAATTATGGTTCCATGCATTGTCTATTTTGAATAACATCTTTGAGAAGAATACTTCCCAATTTGAAAATTTTTGTTTATTGGGCGGTATACCTGTAGTAACACATTTTAGAAGCTCATCTTACGACCAACAGGTCAGATTGCAAGTTGTTAAATTTATTAAGTTTTTAAATTTTTCCGAAAAGGCATTATCAATGTTTGTATCTAGTGGTGGTCTTCGTGTTTTATCTAAATTTGTTGAAGAGGATTTTGATGCTACTCCCGAATTTCCTTTGACTTCAATTGATTGTATCTATAGTATCTTATCAAAAGACTTGACGAGATCAAAATCTAATCTTTGTCGTATTTTATCAAAATATGGAGTTATATTCTGGTTTGTTGTTCTACTTAATAGACTTACAAAGTCTCATTCAAAATCAACTCCGGATGGAATTTCTCTGGACCAAATACTGTCGACTATAAACAAGATAATTGAAATTATAAAATATTTTGGTCAATCGGAGACTAGGGTACGGGTGAATATTTCCAACAGCGATCTTTTCAAGCTTTTAATAAAGGTCTATCCAAGTCTACAATACCAGCATCAATTGGTAATATTGAAATTCTTTAAATCCATTTCTCAAATTTCAGACATACTAAAAGTTTTGTATTCTGCTGATATTTTGGAGTTCCTTGTGAGAATCATGGAATTCTATACACCTTCAAGAGGACATTACAAAGAAGTCATCAATGTTATTTGTCCCACTTTGTATAACTGTTGTTATTTAAATCATGCAAGAGAGGTTGATCTTGTGAAGCTAGGAGCAGTGCCACACCTCAAAACTTTATCAAAAATTAACCTTCCATTTCGTCAATTTGTCTTGCCGGTATTATGTGAATTAGTTCATTGCGATGAATATGTACGACAAGTCTTATTTAAACAAGATATTTTAGCTGTGTACTTTAATTTGCTTATAGATCCATATTGGCAATCAAATGCATTGGACTCTATCCTTAGTTGGTCTCAACATGCTCCAGATCTAGTGAAACTAGATACGCCGAAGGCCATCGATTGCTTTGTTGGAGGTTTCATGCTACCTAAAGTATCCAGTTTGGAATCCACCTTGGACAATTACTTGAAATTAATTACCGTGGATAGAGCAGTGTGCTTTTCTATGGCCAAAGAATCAATAATCAATAATATCTTACTTAAATTGAACGTTCATAATAAGAATCCGGTGGTGCAATTGAATTTGCTACGTATATTAAAGAGCCTTGTCAATATTGTGAAGAAGACAAACATGCTTGACAAGTTAGACATTTCCCAAAACTTAATTACTACGTTGAAAACATTGAAGTCTCGCAAAACATCTGTCTTAGTGGATGAATTAGCCATAGAAATAGTTTCTCTAGTTATGTAGTAATGAATGTATATTAGATTGTAAAAAAGTCGTGCCAAATTTGCACCTCGGTAAAATCTTCTGTGGGGAGACAAACACATAGATAGAACATGTTACTCTTGGAAGCATGCAAATACATACTGTTTGTCTTTAATGATTCCAATATCTTATCCCTCGCCTAGGGTGTCGCAATTAGATGCTCATATATTAGATTCTGAGTTAATATCGCTTTTGAAGGAGCAGTTAACATCTATTTTTCAATTGCATAGTACAAGTTGGTGGACGTATGATCAACATCCAGAGTTATGGAGTTTATTATTAAATTTGATGGTGTTTAGACTAACAGTTTGGAAATCTGGATCATCATATGGTTCATTGTTACAAAATTTAAAATTAACTGATTTCAGAAAGGGTAAATTAATCGGTTATACGAAGAGATCATTACTATGTGCTGTGTTGGTTGGCGATTACTTATACAGTAAGTTACAATCGTACTTATACTCCATTGAAGAATCTGAAGCTTCAAGAAATGTATCGAAGTTCAGGTTAATAAATTCCGTCAAAACCTTTTTCATAACCCACAAATCCAAAATACTTTCAAACTTAAATGATTGTTTCAAATTATTGAATTTAATAAACTTTACATTATTTCTAGTCAATGGTAGATATCCGTCTTTATCTCATAGACTTTTTGGAGTTTCATTGACTCCAATAGTAACAGATTTATTAAAGTTTAATGGTAACAAAGTGAACTTTGAATTTCAAAACCGACAATTAGTCTGGAACGTTATGACAGAATTTTTGGTATTCATTTTACCGCTAATGCAGTTAGGGAAGTTAAAAAGAATGACAAAGAAAATTATGTCGCCATACAAGAAGGGTCAAAGACATGAAACAGGCAATACTCCAGTATTTACTCCATATACTAATTTGCCTGTTTCTCAGTGTGCTATTTGCCACAACAATAATGATATTGCAGCAACATCTTCAAATAAAAATTCTTCTATAAATTCTTCCTGTATGGTTACAAATCCATACGTAACTAACTGTGGTCATATCTATTGCTACATATGTATTGCGACCAAATTTAATTCACTTGAAAATAGTGATTCTTATTATGAAGGATGTCTTCGTTGTGGTATGAAATTGCAATGGTTCAAGGAACATGGAGAAAGCGAAGGAGAAATAGATGAAGATGCGATTATAGTTCCGTATGAGGACAGAGAAGAAAGTGATAATGATGACGACGAAGAAACTGTTGAGCAGGAGACCGAGAAACATAGCATTGCTATTGAGCATGAAACTGATTACCAGGCTGATGAGAAGGTGAGACTTTATCCGAAGAGTGCAACAGATGAAGAAGAGGAAGAGGAAGCTGCTGAAAACAGCGACTACAGTGAGGGCGAAGATTTTGACGAAGATGAGGATCTTGAAGATGCAGATAATGATGATTTTGACGATAGCGATTTTGACGAAGGATTAGATCTTTAGTAATATTATGTTACGGTTTACATTTACATATTTATAATTATTATCTTTTAATTCCTGTATTCAGAAAATATCAACTCTAAATATTAAGTGAAATGAAGAATGACTATTTAATAAGCTTCAATAACAATTGGGCACCCTTGTTATCTGAATCATTAGATAAATCCTTTTTAATTTTCTTTAATGCTTTCCCTAATTCTTTTGTTTTGTCATTTTCATTCAGTAATTGTAAAACTTCAAAACATGCAACAATAACAAAGGCACCTTGACCACTTGTCCAGTCTTTCAATTTATTAGTGGATAATACTTCATCAACAACTCTCACTGCGAATTCTACACCAACTCCTGGAATCTTATTATTTGAAGTAGAGATAAGCTTTTTAGTATCATTATCCCATTTGAATTCATTCCCTTGGATTAATGCCTTTAACGATCTAGAAATAAATGGTACTTTATTAATTAAATGGAAATCTTCTAATACATCACCCTTAACTGATATTTCAAAAATTGCATCGATTAATTCAGGTCTTAATGTATCATTAATTTCAGCAACATCGGTTGATGTTAATATCAACTCTGTTATGAATTGTGCGGCTATATTTACTGATAAGAGTTTATCAAAACCCTTGTCTGGGTTCTCGGACTTAGTTGTAGATAAAATTGATTGATACATTAATGGTAATGCCTTTGATGATAATTCTGATCTTCTTTGTTCTTGTGGTTTTTTAGAAGTCTTTTTATAAGCCAATTCTTCATATTTGTTTAAATCTTTCTTTATTAATGGTGAAAAGTATCTTCCATCTAATCCTTTCAATAAATATAATAATGGTCTACGAGAAAACTTATCTTTTATTAATTCTGGAACTAAATCATCAGTAAGTAATTCTGTACTGAATGACTTATGTAATAAGACAGTATCATCAACAGTCATGAATAAGGTAATTAAAACAATATTACCATTTTCATTCTTAATTAATTCATTGGCGTGGCTTTTTAATGATCTTATGATCAATTTACGTTCTTTAGCGTTGGCCAAGGCGATTAACGAGCATGCAACTTCACTACCTTCGGGAGTGTGAACCAATTCTGCAAATTGCTCTGTCAATAATTCAATGAAATCTCTAATTTGTTTGTCATTCTTTTCGATATCGTCTACTAAAATAGTGGTATATTCTCTCATAGCTGCATGTAAAATTTGGAATCCAGTGGATCCTTTTTCAACTGTAGCTGTGATAGTTCCAACCAAATTGGTCATGATTAACTGTTTCTTTTCAGACAGCTCATTGACTATATCTAAAACTGTTTTATCCTTACCTGAATCTCTGAAAACAGCGTATTCAGCACCCCAAAATTCTCTGATCATTTGTTGTCTCTGTTCACTGGTCGAATACAACACATATAAATCTTCAACGACGTATGCACCTTCTCTATGTCTCATCAACTTACGCAATTTTCCGTGAAGTTCATTGATAATAAGATTACGGGACTCCTTTGAGCCATAATGTAATAATTTAACCAATAAATATTTACCATAAGACGATGTGGCTAACTGATAATAGTTACCTTTCAAAGACTTAACAATAAGGTCTCTTCTTTCTTTTGATGAGTATTTAATTAATGTTTGGACAACACGAGAGGCGTCGTGCTTTAAAACCAAATCGTATATGACATCCTTAGATAACTCCCAAATTTCATTACATAATTTATCTCTGACTTCCTTTGGAGGAGTTGGCTTATTAACTCTTAACTTTTCCCACAAACTTTTAATTCTTTGAACTTCAATCCCTGACTTTCTTTGTAACTTACGCTCAGCCAACAATTTACGTTGTTCGGCGTGTTGTTCCTTAGATGACTTCTTGTTTGGATCAACTTCCTTCACATCGCTTGCATCCTCATCCATATCATCAGATTCTTCATCTGCACTTTTATCTTCATCCAAGTCATCGAGCTCGTCAAGCTCATCTTCCTCATCTTTTGCATCTGCTGGAATATCATCCAAATCGTCATCGGAGGAGTCTGATAACTCTTCACCACTAGATTCTTCAGATGCACTTTCCGCCTCCGATTCACTCTTTGGGGATGGCAACTTTTCAGTTACCTTTTGCTTCTTACCACTGCTCCCATTATCCTTAGCAACTATGTGCTTATTACTTCTCTTGACAGCTCCCATTGCTTCTAAAACTTCTTAATCTTCAAAAAGGAAACTACTCATCTAAGACTGAAAAAAAAATTAATTTTAAGCAGAGGTCTGCGGCTCTTAACTATGGAGAGATTTTGTGTCACTTTTGATTTTGTGTCGTTGGCTTAAGTCCTATAGTTTCTCCAGCTCTACTGACTAATGGAACAAAATGAACTAGTTGCTTTACTCTAGAGTGTTAGCGATTTGATATAGATACCATTAGTTAAAACGTTCGAAATGTTACGTACTTTGCCAATTCGTGCTTTAAATGCATCCAAGCCATCATTAGGCTTCTCGTTCACCAGAACTTCCACTTTTGGCATTCCACAATTATACAATAAAAGGTCTTATTCTTCGGAAGCCCCACATGGTAATGTTAAAGAGTTAGAGGACTTGAAACAGTTTAAGCAATTCATCTCTAATGGAGAAAAAGTGTCCGTCATTGACTTTTATGCTACTTGGTGTGGTCCATGCAAGGCATTGGAACCGATCTTTGCTATGTTATCTGAAAGAGTCCCAGAGGTTCAATTTGGTAGAGTAGACGTTGATAAAGCCCAGGATACTGCAATGGAATACGGGATTACCGCCATGCCAACATGTAAATTTTTCAAAGATGGTGAACAACTCGATACCATTATTGGAGCCAACCCACCTAAATTGGTGTCCTTAATCAAGGAACATTCAGGAGTCGACATTTCTGGAAGGTAGATCTATGACATATATAGGTAGTTGACAATAAATGTGATTTATGTTAGTAGTGAAAGTGTAGCTGTTGTTTTGCGTGCGCGCGCTTCATAACCAAACAGTCCGCTTCGAGTTGAGTGGCGAGTTGATAGAAGAATATCTGATTTGAACAACCACCTTAGATTACAGAATACTTATCACAATAGAGTAATTGTCTCATATAAAGAATCGAACTAAATATAATTGATTAATCATGGTATGTCAATGATTTTATTGGGTGAAAATAGTGAAGAAAATGTGTACTAACAATCAACCTTATAGGGTCAAACGCCATCAGGAATGCCAGGAGGCGATTTCAATAAGAAGAAAGATGATAAGAAGAAGGAAAAGCCAAAATATGAGCCACCAGTGGAGTCTAAGTTTGGGAAAAAGAGAAGAAAGGGTCCAGATACGGCAGTGAAATTACCAAGTGTCTATCCTAGCACTAGATGTAAATTGAAATTATTGAAATTGGAAAGAATCAAGGATCATTTATTATTGGAAGAAGAATTTGTGACTAACCAAGAAGCCTTCCAGCCTACAGAAGCAAAACAAGCCGAGGAAAGAGAAAAAGTTGATGAATTAAGAGGATACCCAATGTCGATTGGTACTTTGGAAGAAATCATCGATGATGATCATGCAATTGTTTCGAGCACAGCTGGTTCCGAATATTATGTGTCTATAATGTCTTTTGTTGACAAAGGTTTATTAGAACCAAGTTGTTCTGTGTTATTGCATCATAAAACCGTGTCAATTGTAGGTGTATTACAAGATGATGCTGATCCAATGGTATCGGTAATGAAATTAGATAAATCGCCCACCGAATCATATGCCGATATTGGTGGATTAGAATCACAAATTCAAGAAATTAAAGAGGCAGTTGAGTTACCATTAACTCATCCAGAATTATATGAAGAAATGGGTATCAAACCTCCAAAAGGTGTGATATTGTATGGTGCACCAGGTACAGGTAAGACATTATTAGCTAAAGCGGTAGCAAACCAAACAAGTGCCACATTTTTAAGAATTGTTGGGTCCGAGTTGATTCAAAAGTACTTGGGTGATGGTCCAAGATTGTGTAGACAAATTTTCCAGATAGCAGGAGAACTTGCTCCTTCCATTGTTTTTATTGATGAAATAGATGCTATTGGTAGCAAAAGATACGAATCTTCGTCCGGTGGTGAGAGAGAAGTCCAAAGGACTATGTTGGAATTGTTAAATCAATTGGACGGTTTCGATGATAGAGGTGATATTAAGGTCATCATGGCTACAAATAAGATTGAATCATTAGATCCTGCATTAATTAGACCTGGTAGAATTGATCGTAAAATTTTGTTTGAGAACCCTGATTCAAATACTAAAAAGAGAATTCTTCATATTCATACATCCAAGATGAGTTTAGCTGACGACGTGAAGCTAGATGAGTTAGTGACTTCTAAAGATGACTTATCTGGTGCCGATATCAAAGCTATGTGTACGGAGGCTGGTTTATTGGCATTAAGAGAAAGAAGAATGCAAGTTAAAGCGGAGGATTTTAAGGCTGCTAAAGAAAGAGTTCTCAAAAATAAGGTAGAAGAAAATCTTGAAGGTTTATACTTGTAAAATATATATATCATATATTTAATTCACATTATTATTACTATCCATAATTTAGGACTATTTACTATTTACTATTATCAACATTAATAACTAGTATTAATCATTTCTGTTATTCAAAATACGTAAAACGAATAAGAATAAATTTAAGATGTCCAAGTATAACGAAAGAGTTGCTGGGACTTCGTCATCCAAGTGGACTGTCTTCATAATCCTCTGGGTGTCTATAATGATATAAATGCTGAATATTATAGCCCCCAATCCGGAATACAACATTTCCATGCCCGATGAGTGGTTTGGGAAAACCATAAAGATGAATCCCCAGCCAATTAATACCCATGTAGCCATCATGACAGTTCCTTGCCAACTTATAAAATCATATTTAGTTTGGAAAGCAAATAATGTTAACCCAATGAAAATAACAAATGTTATCAACAATGCCTGTACCACTACTTGCGACTCAATTGCTGCACAGGCAACTCCAACTCCATAGGCTTCACATAAAGTGAACCCACCCAATAATAATAGGTTGCTTGGATATGACCTAGCCTTAATGTGAGTGGCAATCATGAACCCGATTGAACCAATAAGTGAGACAAAGAAAAGCCACATGTTGTTAAAGCACCATGTTTGAATAGAACTATTCGAACGAATGATAAGCCCGACTAACACTGTACCAAATATTTGAATTGACAACAATGTATATACCTTTCTAATGAACAATTGACGGATTGGTAATTCACAGGATGCAACATCCACGGAATACTTGAAATCATCAGGTATATTATCCCCTTCGACCCTGGGACTTTGCTCTTGTTCGTATGTTGGTGGCTCGCTAGTAGGTAATGTAGTATAATGATTCATAGCTATCTAGTTTGTATGACATAGCCAGAGATGATGCTACTTGAAAAGGGATTCTGCGCTTTTATACAAAAATGCGTGGTTGTGAGCCTTTCTATCTACACTTGTTATCTACCTCCATGGAATTCCTGTTCTAATACCCATTAACAGAGTTTACTAGTAATGTGGTTGTACTGACATGGGTAGTCCTGATAGACCTATTATTTGTTAAAATCATCAAGTTTTTGCTGTAATTCCGTCTCAAGGTAGTTAATAGGTGCGATGTAACAGTTTGCACCCAACTTAATGGGGCGACTTGGTAAGATTATACATGATATTAAGCGTTGAGCATATTTATATTATGATGTTAACGTAAGGCCGTAATGAATAGTCATATTAAGAGGTTATGTATTGAAAAAATTAGTTTTTGTCATATTTATAGAAATTTGCTAAATTTCCCAAAATGTAGTAATTTAAGATTCACAAACTAAATATAACAGAATATAAAATAACTAAACGTTTATAAGTACATAATAGGGTAAATAACCATCTTAAAGAAGCTAGCCAAGCTCAGTTCCAATAGCATCGTACATATCGGTTAAAGGAATTTATCTATTATTCACAAGCATATATACATATTTACAGTTTCTTTCATGGCTCTTTCGAACCGCTGAACTCAGATGGAATGGGTGGCGGACCCGTGACCTTGGCTAATTTCATCCTCAATAACATGGTTTCTTTAAAGGTAACTCTCTTACGGCACAAAGGACATAAGCCAACACCCTTTTTGCCTTTGGTTTGTCCTCTAGCAGTAGAGCTAGCAATACTTTGTTGAATGCATTCCAAACAGAAGACATGTCCACACGAAGTTGCTGTCGCATTGGTGACCTCATCAAAGCAGATTGGACACTGAACATTGCTTAATTTTTTGGTGCTGTTGGTATGCGGAGGTTGTATTGGATTATCAATCAAATCCTGTGTTTCCTTCTTGAACGCTATAATCTCCACATCATCTTCATCCTCGGAAGACAAATTTATAATATTCTCTATATTAGCGGTAGACATTCGTCTTAATAATCATTTAACACTATAAGAACCTTCCCAATTCATGAAACTCTTTCACAGATTCTCTGTGAAATTTTTGCCAGTATACGGTTTCAAATGGCTCTTTTCAGATATAAACCCCTAATAGCACTTTCAATGTATAATTTTCCCAGACTTGTTTCACGATTTGCTCGTTTTACCTATAATTCTATGCGTATTCAATGGCATCGTTCTATTGTTAGCAGATAAAACCAAATGCGATTTATGGTCACAATTTTTGATTTCACACACGAAGTTAAATTACTGTAAGGAACAAAGTGGTCTTTATATAGTCAGAAGCATAACGATATTACGAGAACTTCTACATATTATTGAAGCTAAAAGCTAATAACGTAATATTCTGATATCCAATATTTGATTGTGTGTTTTGATATAAGTGCAATATGGTTACTGATCATACAAATCCCTTAGCGGTTTTACTTCCTTATACGTTCAATTCGCAGAATGATTATCCTACGGAAGTATTGGCTAATAGGTTTCAAGCTTGGAGGTCGATCATCAAAGATTTGGTCAATTATCTTAAGGAATATGCCAGCGTTCAGGAGGAAATTGTAAGGCAACAAATGAGGCTTCAACAGGCGGTTGGAATATCACCAGGGTCAAGTACAGCCGTCTCTGGAAGTAATAGTGGCCATGGACATGGATCGCATAATAACCATAAGGAAGACATAAATGCTATCAATAAGTTTTTCTTACCTATCGGAAACGGGTCAATACAGGACTTACCGACGATATTGACGAAGTTTCATCAGCAGAATGTGACACACTCGTCGAAAACGTTGAAAGACATAAATTCTATTATTATTCCAAAGTTAGAGGAATTGAGAAAAGATCTTCTTATTAAAATCAAGGAAATTAAAAACTTACAAAATGATTTCAAAAATAACTTGGGAAAAGAGATCAATGAAACAAAACAAGCTTTGAACCAGTATACTCAGGCGATTGAATTCTCCAATAAACTAGAGCATGGCGGATTATCCCAAGACGGAGATCATAGTAAGAATGACCCATATCTCATGAAAATAAAATTGGATAGACAATTAAAAAAACAAATCTCAGAAGAAACATATTTGCATGATGCATATTCCAATTTGCAAACTGCAGGGGGAAAGTTAGAATCTATTATTGTATTAGAAATTCAAAACTACTTATCAACTTTCTTAAATTTACTAAATGCTGAGCATTCGACAATCCCAGACTATTTGTTACCAAATTTGAACAACGGGTTTTTATCAAAGGAAGCAGAATTCGAATGGAACTCGTTTATTTCAAGAAATTTACCAACACCTTCGATTTCTGTTAGTGCATTAGGAAACAATTCTTCAAATGTTAAAAACGGAACCTTCGTTGATCTTTCATTCCCATATAGAAAGGTGTCTGAACTTGTGATACCTGAGGGTAACTCTCCATTAAATGTTGCAGTGAGAGAAGGACCGTTAGAAAGACGCTCTAAGTTTTTGAAATCTTATTCAAGTGGTTGGTACGTTTTAACATGTAATTATATTCATGAGTTTAAAACATCAGATCGCAAGAAAGATATGCAGCCAGTTATGTCATTGCTGTTAGATGCCTGTCAAGTCAGCGAACATTCCAAAAATGATGGTAAAGCGGGGGGAGTTTACAAATTCGTTTTGCATTCTAAGCTGCTGAATGGCATTATTCACAGAGGTCACAATTGGGTTTTCAGAACTGATACTTATCAAAAAATGATTGACTGGTATACTGATATTAAGTCTTTAACAAACGCAAGTACTGCTTCTGCAAGAGCAAGAATAGTTAGCAAGAAATTCAAGTTGGAAGAAAATCAACATAAGAGAATATCAAGAACTTCAAGTATTCTTTCGAATGGAACTAATGCAAAATCATTGAGAACCATTACCACCAATAACTCATCGAAAGCAGCAGGAGGCTCAATACGCTCAAAGCATAAGTCCCCAACAATGTCCCACAATAGATTGTCATCGACATTTTCAAGGACTAATAACCAATCTCCTAGACTCACAAACATGGTAAATAGTGATGGTACGATGATAGCTCCGGTTGATGTGAATCAGGATGTAAAAACATCGTCTGCTTCCCACTTAAACGTCCAGCATTCATCTCCGCAGCAGCATACTGCGCAACTTAATTATCAGGCTGGCTATTATTACCCTAGCAATGGACAACCACTGCAGTTGTACGATCCCGTTCAACAACAGTACTATACTATAAGTCCCACCGTCCAAGGGCAACCCCAACCCCAGTATTTTCCGGTATCGCCACAACAGAATTCTCAACAGCAATTTTTTATCCACGCACCAACTGGAAGGGCCCAAAGTCCAGTGAACCAAGCACAACCACAACCGCAAGTACAATACTTTCCAGTGAATTCTGCAAATTATGGTGTATACCCACAACAGCCGAACAAAGATGGATCTTCCCCCAATAATTTGCCATATCCAACTCATTTGCAACCTTCAGCAGCAATAGAATCCAATCAACATGGTGAGCTGGGGTTAGACTTTTTAAAATCCGATTCGACGTTACACCATGAATTAAACAATAAAGATTCAAGCAATCCTTTGCATGAAAATGGGGAAGCAAACTTACCTGCTCGGGATACTAATGATCAAGAAGATAAGGAAAGTAATATAACTAACGACAAGGGAATCGATAGTGAACTTAATATTCAGAATAGCACCAACGAAACAAGCGCCAATGAATTAGAAACGTTGCAAAGCAATGACAAGAACAATACGTTTGATGAAAGCTTAACCAAAGTAATCAGCGGAGACAAAGTTATTCCCCTTACTCCCGAAAATTAGATTGTATACTTTAGTTTAGGCCTTTAAATTAAACGGCCAGAACTGTACTATAGATGTTCACGTTGCAAAAGCATAAATATTGATAAATAGTCTCGCAATAAAAGCTACAGTAGAAATCAAAACCTAATCAAGTATTATAACATAATTATTTAAAAGATGATACATAATGAATATATTTAAAAGAAAATCTTCTAAACAACAACACCAGAGTTGGAAGCAATACGTGGCCATAAATCAGCACATTCCTTAGCAACTGGGCCAGTGATAGCAGAACCCTTCATTTCACCCTTTGGATTGACAATAACACCAGCATTATCTTCGAAGTATAAGTAGACACCATCCTTTCTTCTCCATGGTCTAGCTTGTCTAACAACAATTGCTGGCATGATTTTCTTTCTTAATTCTGGCTTACCTTTCTTAACGGTAGCCATAACCATATCACCGGCTGAAGCAGCAGGTAATCTATTTAATCTAGCACCGAATCCCTTAACAGAGACGATGTATAAGTTTCTTGCACCTGAGTTGTCACAACAGTTTACAACGGCACCAACTGGTAAACCTAACTAGAATCTTTGTTAGTATAATTGTCTTCAGACATGAAAAGAAAAACGCTATTTCGAGATGAGCTTCTCTTCTTCCGAGCATGTTTCGCTTACAATACGTCTTCAAGTATAATGCTCTATTCGCTTGGTTTCTATCCTCTCTTATTGGGTCATTCTTCTTAATTCTGCATTTTCAATGTTCTTCAATTTCTTCTCGAAGCCCAGATTCACATCTCTTCCACAACGTCTTCATTAAAATAAAATCAGTCACATACAGACATACGGAATTTGTTACCGGAAGCACCAGAACCAGACATTTTGTAGTATTATTTAATGTATTTGGTATAAAACAAACAAAAAATTAAATTAATCAACTTTTATTCACTTAGGTTCATCAAAAAATTTTTCACTATACCAACCACTCTCACAGTAGTCCTCTGGCCATACTGAGGATTGTACAGGACATCAGTATATTACACAAAATTGCGAAAGTAAAGAAAAATTATGCATAAGGTTTACCCGGATGTGTCGAAATGGGGCGAGGGTTAAAACCCTATTGTACGGAATTGTGACTCTCCTTTTTATTTTCTGTACACACGACTTCTCGGAAGTACCGAGAACTTCACTTGCATATATGCGATATATCCGATATTTAGTATTCGAGGATTCGCGGTGCTCCAACTATGTAACCTTGTGGTTTGAAGTAGTATGTCTATTAATGAGAAAAGCCAAGTTCACAAGATTAAAATGTATATTAATATACTGTAAGCATATAGAACCAGAATCGTAGGTAGATAATTATATAACATAGAAGAATGGAAAAAGTGTTGCAAGATGAAGCTTGCAAATATTAAAAAGAGTATAGTAACATGTGATGGCGTTCAGTTATTAACGACTTTGAGAGAGCCTGGATTCCTGGTAACCATGTCAGGTAACGAACCATCACTAAGTCTTCTTCTGCCGTATTCTGATGAGAGTTTGTCCTGACCAGGTGATTCTGTATCAGGATGGCCGGCAGCCATGAAGAAATCATCATTATTTGTAGTATCTAGAGAATACAGGGTATCTTTGTTGTGGTCCACATGGCCATCGTCGTTCCGACCAGTTTGGGCCATCATAAATGGATTTGGTGCACCTTCAAAGGTATGGGTTTTTTCGTTGCTTGGCCCAGATAAGGTAAACTCGTCGTCCTTATCATCATCCTCCTTATTACGCTTAAAGCAGCAAAGGAATACCACTAAACCTAAGATGAGCCCAGCACCTGCTACACTCCCAATTACAGCACCAACAATTCCCCCTGTGCTAATAGATTTTGATGATTTGTTTTGTTTAGATGATGCGTCGTTAGCATTAGGTGTTGATGACGATGATGAATTCAGTTCTGTCATTGTTACCGCGATAGTTGATGGTTCCTGAGAGTCTGTTGGGTTGCTTGTAATTGTGGATATCAACGTAGTTCTATCCGGCGCAGACAGGGACGACCTCAGTGATGATGATGATGATGAAGATGATGAACTTTCTGATGTAGACGGCTCTGCGGAGCTGCTTGAACTTGGGCTAGCAGACGAAGAATCGCTGCTGGAACTGCTGCTGCTGCTGCTGGAACTGCTACTGCTGCTGCTGGAACTGCTACTGAAACTGCTGCTAGAACTGCTGCTGCTGGAGCTCGTGGATGTGGTTGAAGTCGAGCTCTGTGTGGTTGTTTTCGAACTGGAACTAGATGAACTAGAGCTGGAGCTGGAGCTCGAACTGGAACTAGATGATGAAGAAGTACTTTCTGATTCAACGTCACTATTGGAATATACCAAGAACGCATTACTACCACCACAATTTTCTTGACCATAACCTTGACAACTGACATTACAATCAGAACTATCAGCTTCGTCTCCGTCAGGTTCTGTATCACCACAATAACAGTACTTACCGTTCAACAATGCTGCTACCTTTTTACCAGCACATTCCTCTTCACAATGGGATGATGATTGATATATAAACTCATCTTGGTAGCTTAATATGCTTTGAATATCTGACTTCAGATAGCATCCTAGCTTGGAGAAAGAATCCGCTCTCCCAATATTAGCTTGGACCAAGAAGTATATAACCCAGGGTATACCATAATACCTCATGCTGTTCTATGTTTTGAGTTTCCTCCTTGTTGAAACAAATGTAAATAGCAATAAAAAAAATAAAAATAAACAACTATGAAGTCAAAGAGTCACCTAAACTGCTCGTTAAGTTGTTTCAATCTATAGAATTAAATGTAAAAAGTAATACCTTCAGTGTTAACAATACGTTTCAATACAAATCAACAACTAATATTGACTAATTTTGTTCATCCGTTGATCTTACAAGCATAACACTTATACTGTATGTAAGCAATTCTACGTGTTGACCCACTATGTTGTTGACATTCTTATTGTAAGGAGGCGGAACAATAGGTCTTGTTTTTTTTTTCAGGTAAATATTACTCCTGTATATAATCATATTTTCACTTGCAGGTCTAAGAATAGCCCTGGCTGGATAGATGCAATAGCTTCAAGTAGAATAGTTTAGTAAGCTTGGCTATATGGAGTGTAGAAGGAGATTATAATGTAACGCTTCTTTTCCAAATGCCAGTTGCGTTCAGTTTGTAATGGCGTAACAAGTGGTTTTTAGTTTCGGCGAGCACTACCGATTGTTCTCCGACAATGAGAACAAAATCAGAGAAAGAGGATACGTATGGAATTCTTTTTTTAAAAATGATTTAGTCAATTGTAGAGTGTTAGCTTTAGAGTGTTAGCTGTAGAATGTTCAGTGTCATATAATGGAGACTACGACTTAACATTAGTAGCTTTGTGATGACTGAACAATCTGTGTTCATTTTTTTTTGCGATTTCTGTAAAATATTCACGATATTCTAATTTTGCCGCAACATTATCACCTAAAACAACCGTTACTGAACTATACAAATATTAATACAAGAGTCATACGAGATTATGCTCTTTCCAACAGAGAAGAGTGATGTTGACAATATAAACTACTACAAGAAGACTAGGTGCTGCAATTGAACGAAAGAATCCAGGAAGAACCTTTCAAAATGTATTGGAACACAAAAAGTCTACGATCTACGATTGATATGAATGTTTTCTTAAAACATGCAAGATAGTATCCGCTTACCTAAATCTGCAAATCAAATTAGGCTGGAAAATCAAACAGAGATATAGCATTTTCTAGGGCTGTGATTCTATCTGGATTTTATGCTCAAGATAGTAGCTTACCATTAAAAAACAGATATCAACAGAAATAAAGAGTTATGTCTAATATGTGTGCAAACTATGTCACATTCTACAACTACATTCAGCTTCCAATCAACACATCAGTTGATGCGTCTTCGTATTACTCCAGTAAAGTATATATTTCGAATAATCCGTGTACTAATCAATTTCCGATGAGTTTAAAAGCGTCAAATTCAGCATTAGTAAAAATTTTATAAGTTCTTCTTCTTTATGTCAAAATGGATAAGAACTGTTAAATAAGTACCTTGCCTTGTTGTTTACAACGAAATGATGAGGTTCGTCACAGTAAATTATCCGTAGATCAATTATTCCGTAGCCTTTTTCGCTAACCACGATCATTTGTTTTCCGTAGATCGTTGTTTGATAGTAGTTGGGCTTACATATTGTAATTTCTCTGTATTTATTATAGCTACCTAGTTGTAAGCATAAGAGCATGCCATTTGACTGTACTGAACCGTGTAGAAATAGCATTTATTTTGGTGCATGTTTAGTATTACGGTGAAGCCATCTGACCTGAAAAACGATTATCGCAAGCGCAACTTTATATTTTTAATGGCACCAGTATAATCATGTCAATACCAACGTCCATAAAGGTGATAGACGGTATTGTTGACCAGTATCGTGAAGAAGTTTCCCAACTTGATATACCTGACTTTACTACGCCATCGTCGTCATATAAAAATCCTGTTGTGTCTCCATATGTCAATGAGTTCAAATTGAATCGGATCATAAATGATATACCCACCATAAAGTTGCAATTAAACAAATACAAGGGCAATAAGACGTATCAAGATGTATCAGACAAGATATTGCAATTACAGAGCTTGTTGGACGAAAAGTTTTATATTAATGATAAATTGATTCGTATATGGGTGTCGAGCAAAACAGTTACAGGTTTGACTGATAATGCTGACAATGCAGCCGAAGAAAAGACCAATGACGAAGCTATAGAATTGAATAATGACGAAGAGAACCTTGCTTCATTGCGCAAGAGATTGCTATCAGGCGGAACACATACTTCCCTAGATGATACTACAAATAACAAATCCTCTATAGATAAGGCGAATAATTATCACGAATCAATTCAAGAAGACATTTTGAGTGAATTGACGGGATTTGCCGCAAGCTTGAAACAGTCAGCTGTCACATTATCTTCCAAGCTTTTAGATGATAATGCCGTTTTGAATAAAACAGGTGATAGTTTAATGAAAAACGAAACTCTAATGAAAAGTGTCGGAAACAATTTAAACAATTACGTTACTAATAAATCAGGTGGAAAGATAAGCTTCTGGTTTTTGATGAAGATATTGCTTGCTTCTTTTTTATTATTTTTTGCGATGGTTGTTCTAATTAAGATATTTCCGAAGATGTAAGTCTTACACTTATTTTTGATTAAACCTTTATTTATTTAAAATATGAACATAGAAGATATTGAATGTATAGCTAATAATATAAACAAAAGAAGAAAAGTTGATTATAAAAAACAATTAATAAAGTCGTAATAAAAAGTAAATCGGAAAAATAATTAAATCAATTTAAATGCTGTTGTGAATTGTTCAACTAAGGTGGTATTTTAAATTTATCTTGGATATAATTTTCTTCTTAGTCAATAGGTAGTCTGCTAATTCGAACAAAAGAAATAAAATGAATAAATATGAATAAACAATGAGTGAAAACTCGATAGAACGGAGAAGAACCTAAATTTCATCATTCATGAATTCATTATCGGAAAATGACTGGTTTGAACCATTATCAATTCCTGAGTTATGATTGTGGTTTTGTCCTTGATTTTGATTTTGGTTTTGGAATTGTCTTGGTAAGTTACCACATCTATCTTTGCCAAAATTGATTTTTAAATTTTTATAGTCGTGAAATGATTTTATACCGTCAATTGCCTTAATAGCATTTGCTATGTTAACAAAATTTATAAATGCACAATTCTTTTCTTCTAAATAGTTAATTTGTTCAATATCTCCAAATTTCGTGAAATCCTCTCTTAATTTAGATGGGTTGTAGTATTCGAAATCAGTTATATTACCAATGTAAATATTTCTGGATGCACCATTTGAAACAGCCAAAGATAATGCATTCGACAAAGGACCAGAATGCTTACCCCATCCAACCTTAATTCTACGATTATGAATTGTTAATCCATGCAATTGGCACATGGCAAAGAATTGGGCTGCAGCGATTGGATCAATAAAAGTAATAAAACAAACATGACGTTCTTTCAAAAATCTAATACTTTGCAATAACCCTCCTCTAACAACGTTACAGATTTCTTCGACAGAAGAGTCTTGGTGTAAGTTACCCAAATAAACTGTACGATTACCCAAATTGTTGGCTCCACCTGCTTGAGTAGCAATTTGAGCAGCAGCAGCAGATTGTTGCACCAACGCTGAAGATATGAATTCACGATCGGCAGCTGTAACAATATGCTCCATACCTGGTGCTAAACCTAAGTACTGAGCTGCATTATGTTGTTGGGTTTTAGTAATGAAAGCACATCTGTCTTTACCGTAGAAACACTTTTTATCTAAGTACTTTTCTTTCAATGGTAAATTGGCGACACATCTTATGGCACTCAAAATAGACAAGAAATGAATGAAGGCAATTCCTTTCTCTGGAATGATCTTGATACAATCAATGACACCGTAGCACGATAAGTCATCTCTCAACTCTTGTTCAGTAATGATTTCGCCATTAACAGAGTTATTTAAATTGCCTAGGTAAACATTCCTAGTAGCACCATGCCTTTGAATTGATTCCATAACAGCAGGCAATATAGGGCTATTTTTACCCCAACCGATCCTAACGTCATGCCCTTTAATGTTCAATTTCTTCAAAATGCAATCAGAATGGAACAACAAAGCAGATTGATGGTCTATGAAAGAAATGAAAGCGCAATTTTTCGAAGGCAAAATCTTAACTGATTCAAGAATACCGGATCTGACATAATCCAATAATTCATTTGGTTGAATATCAGATGGAATATTACCCAAATAAACGGTTCTTGATGGAGCAACTGAAGAGTTACCATTCGAATTTGGACCCATTTGGCCAAACACATCAGGTTGATTTTGAGGAGTTGGTGGTGCCATATTTGGCATTTGTAAGTTTCCTGGAGGTCCATTACCAGGTGCCATTGGAGGAAACTGGTTTCCGTTGAAATGTTGGCCCATATTTCCCTGTCCATCATTACCATTAATGAATGAAGCTTCGTCATAGTAATCATTGCCAGATCCAGGAGTGTTTTCATTTCTATTGAAACTGAACTGATCTCCTTGGAATTGAGGATATTGATCATATGGCGGCATTCTTGAATCACCTTGTTGTTGCACGCTACCTTCTGGACTCACTAACTGTTCTTCCGACCCTTGCTGAGCGTAAAATTGTGGATAGTAAGGTTGTGCCATATACTGTTGTGGAACACTTTGATAAGGATCAAAATACGTCATGATGTAGCTTCACCTTTTCAGTTCTCTTATTCTCTTGTTATAAATCAAGTGTACTTTAGACTCAAAAAGTGTAATTATTATATTAACCTAGAACCTCTTCGTTGAACTTTACTTGGATATGTCTAGCCAAGTCGAAATGAATTCTTTTACTTAGGACAACTAGTGAATTAAATTAATAATAGTATTAATGAATTGAATATTGGAACAAGTAATAGACCTTTCGTACGATTAATGAATGAATAAAAATTGAATTGACTAATGTAAAATCGACAACGTAGTAGGTAGAGGTCGATGATTAGAAAAAAAAAGACAAATACAAAAGATTATGATAAATATCTTTGACTTATATCTTAATAAGTTATAGGATCAACTAAATCTTTATTATATGTTGAATACGTTTGACTTTTGCTTGACTTAATATCAAAAATGTTTACTACTATATAATGATCTCTTCGCTTACTAGGGCAGGAATTTTTTCTGAAAAATTAATTTTGTGTAACCGGTACACACACACACCAATTGTACTACTAAGAATATAGACATAAGATATACTACATCAATGATCAGAGAAGATAGGAAATAGGATCTGATATTATTGTAGACTATCTGCTATTTCGTCCGTATTCGAGTTCAGCATTTGATTTGACCCCTTTATATCGGTGTCAGAATTGGACTCATAATCGGTGATCGAACCTCGCTTTGCCGTATCGGATGATGACTTGGCTGTGTCGATAGACCGGCGAGTTTCAGATTGCAGTGGACGATTCTTTGCCTCTTTGGTTGTCGTTTCATTGACGACATTTGAGTTGTTGCTATTGTTGTTATTGTCGTCGTTGTCATCGTCGTTGTCGCTGTAGTCTGTGACATCTCGAGATCCCGAACTTCTCTCATTTGACAGATGCAGCAGATACAGTTCGTCCACGTCAGTAGTTGGATTCTCGTGCTCTTGATCTAATATACTGGTCACAATTTCTCTGTCTGATAGGCCATTTGTAGCTGTGGCCAAGTGGTTAGACTTATCTTGTGACCTCGTTATGCGATGTGTCTGCTCTTCAGTGTTTTCATCGGCCGATATTTCTTCTGGGTCATTTGCTTTGGTACTTCTTTTACGACGTTTTTGCAGGGACGATTTCGGGCTAGTTGCATTTTTCTTCCGTTTAGTAGGACTCGTGTAAACTTCATCTAGTTCATCAGGAATTTTGTCTTTGTCTATAGTGTAGTTTTTTAAATTAAATTTATTTTGGTTTATGTACTTTTCGTTTAGACCCTCTAATTGTTTTAAATTATTATTTTCCAATTCCCAAATTTTATCTTTCTTTGCATTCAAAACTTGATAGAATTTGTCCAGAAAGTCGCTTATAATTTTCTTATGCTGAACAGCACTTGTTTCCAATTCGTTTTGATATTGTTCGTTTTCCTCCTTTAACATCAAATTCGATTGCCTTGACGCATGTAATTCCTTGTTTAATTTTTGGTTATTTAAGAGTAAGAGATCAATCCAGTTGAATAAGTTCTGTTCCTCTCGCATCATTATACTTTCTTGCAGATCATATTCTGTATCTGCGTATGGAAGGTCAATTGAGCCTACTGTTATTGGCAATTTTGCATTCGTTTTAATATCAATAGTAATAAATTCAGAAACTAGGGGCAATTCATCATCATCTAGCAATTCATTAGTATCAGGATCATAATATCGTTCTAGGGATATAAATTTTGCAGATGCAACAAGGTCGTCTGCAATGGATGGTTCGTGATGATCATCAACAGGAAATAAATGTTGTATTATCGACTCCCATTCTGCAATTGTAAAGTGACCTTTCCTCTTAAATCTCGCACAGTTTTCTTTGGTTATATCAATATGGAAGCTCCCTTCTTGGTTCATAGCTGTAAGCGATATATTGGCGAAATTGGAATTTTCGATTTTTGACCCATTTCGTAAACAATGCAAATAGAGGGATGCTTTTTTAATAATTTTCTTAGTTTCCTTATCTTCGATAACCAATGGAATAGACTGAATGTGCCCTGTTAATGCATTTTTGCTTGGAGGACTATAAATTTCGTTCATCTTTGACCCATTTCTGACTGTTTCATTGAATAAGTAGTACGACATAAATGAGAGAATGAGAATAATATTAGTACAAACTGAATACTTTTGCCAAATTTAAATTGTAGTAATGAAACTTGTACATGATTTTGAAACAATATTGGGGTAATAATAGACTACATGTGAGATCTGTAGATTTCAATCTTCTACAATCTAAATCATAGTTTTATGTAAATTTCAAAATGCAAAATATATACTCTAGTAAAATGGGCACCATCCGCAATATATTAATGCCAAATTATGTGGACTTGTCGCCTCTTGGATAAGTTCTCTAACTATTGCTTCTACACTCAAGCCACCAGCAGTAAGCTTATCTGAAACCATCAAAACTGCCCGTCCACCTTCTGAACCGTCTTCTTGGGGGTTCAAGTGACCCATTTCAGTTCTATCTCCTTCATTTTGTAACTTTTTCCTCCTTATAGGGGATAGACTCCAAGAATACAAGGGATCCCAACGTAGTACATCTAAAATTGCTAGTATGTGTTCCTTGTTTTGCCGCAATACTCTGTAAGTGTGTTCGCAAGACTTGTTAAAAACCCCATTAACCCCAGTAATTCCAAAACCATCCACTATATCTCTCGTTAGCCTAAAAGGTACAGTTTCGGGTATTGGCAATCTCTTACCTTGGTCAAAGGCTACACCTAAATCAATGTGAATAGGCTCACCAGAACTTTTATCCAATAAAATATTATTGCAATGCCTATCACCCAAACCCAATATATGGCCTACAACTGAAGTTGTGGCAATTCCACGAGTATACGAAGTTCTACAATCAAACCAAGTGTCGGGAGTAACATAGTTGTCAAAAAAGAAATATCTTAAAACTGGCGATATTTTCTTGCTTATTTTATCATACGTCTTATATCTCTCTGTTTTGTCTGCAGATTGACAGGTCTTCATTAAATCTCTAGCCTTATCTGCCTTCAATATATCAATTTTCATATGATAGGGTCTGATAGAATCTATTAGTGCTATTGAATTGGGTACGAATTCGATAATACCAGTTTCAGGACCCAATGGAACAGCTTTATATGTTCTTACTTTTAGCTCCCGTTTCCTTGTTTCTTTATCTTTCTTGAAAATATTGTTAACCTTTTCAAATACTTGTTCCATAATAGAATCTTGACGCAAATCATCAGTCCCATGCTTCAATAAAACCTTATGTTCCGAACCATTAGATAAGTAGAATGAGGCAATTTTTGGTAAACTTAGACCGGATGTTGCAATAGTCACTCTAGGATCAATCCTCTCCAAATAAATTACATTATCATAGCTAGTTGATAAATCTACAGTCAAGCTTATAGTTGGTGGTGGAATGTGAGATAAATGATTAAGCCAGTAATCTCCAACTTTTAAACTGCCCAACTGAATTGACTTTCCTTTAGGTACTTTATATTCTGCTAGTTTAATTGACTCATCACAGAATTTTTCAACATTAAGAAGTATTTCGCTGACTTTTTTGTTACCTCGTGTAATGAGCTGTTGCCAGATATCGTTTGCAGCTAGAGATTTTGAGATAAGTAATACATTGGAACTCTTTTTTGCATACGATTCATGCTTTTTTAAAGAAATCAAGCCATACAACGAATGATATGGATGGTCGAAACATAGACCCACAATTAAAGATTTCAATAAGCTTTGGAATTTGGATGATTCACTGGAAAGACGGGATATCAATTGGGTTGACCAACTGATTAATTTGTGATTTGGCAATGACAAAATATTATCGGAAAGAGTCACATGTAATTCATCTTTATTTGAATGCTCTAACCATAAAGCAAAAAATTTGTCTAAATTCTCATCACTATCACCATCAGTTAATATACTCTTCAAATAAAACTCAACAGCCTTGTCAGAAAATTCACTTATACTTCTTTTCAATGAATTTAGATCAGATAATTCCGCGATATATTGAGCTTTTAATTTTGAATAGTATCGCTGAGCACTTTTTTTCTCGTCAGCTGCAACTGGCATTCTGCTATAATGTGTTTTCAATTCTTCTATCTCGGACTTCTTCAATTCAACCAGCTTTTCTAGCTTATATATATGGTCATTCAAACCACGAGACCTGAACTGAGTTTCACAAAAATTCGCTAGAATTTCATATACCTTAGCTTTTTGATCCATTTCTTTAACCGATGTTACCATATCAGCAGTAGGCAAAACATATTTTTCCATAATATTTGATGCCAAGTCCTGTCTCGATTTTGACATCCACTCAACTAAATTTGCATTAATCAAACTTGGTGTAATATGCATATTACTAATTGAAAGGTTGATCGCTTCATTCTGTTGCAATTCTTTCAACATTATAACAGGTATACTAGTTTGCCCTTGTTGCCAGAGTGTTCGAGCTATTTGATATTTTGTAAGTTGGCTAATACTATCCTTAAGCAAATGATCAGACTCAGAAAACTTTGACTTAGAAAGCTCATTTATCATAACAATTGAATTGACCAGCTTTTGCAGTTCATCAGCAATTATGGCGATTGAATTGTATCTTATCAAATCATGTAATGAACATAACCACATGCTTTCTTTTGTAAGCGACGATATATCAGCAGATGATTCAGCCAATATTTGCAATGCTGATTTCCTTGCTAGGAGTATATTTTCGGACCAATCAAAATCTGCCTGCTCAAACCAATTTGTGCATTTAGAAAATTCATGTAGAAGACCTTCAAAATTAGATTCTTTATAGTGTAAAACGTCTCTGATATTGTAAATACACGTCAAACTAATGAGCCATCTTTCAATATTCAATCGGAATTCTTTTGGGCTGGAACTGTAGTTGGTTATAGTATCCTTACTATACAAAGTCTGCAATAACGACTCCTCACAGGCTTCATTTGCATAACTCGGGTAATCATGAATTTGCTTCAAGGTTTTATAGATAATCTGATGCTCTTCATTTGCTTCTCGCGGAGAAGGAATATCCCAACAGTTTAATTTCCATGCCCATTCAAAAGTTGCGTTATTTTTATCTCCATTATCTAGATTTTTACTGACTAATTTCGAAACACCTAAAAATCCATTGCGAATCATGGAATTGAGAACTCTAGTATTCTTCGTTTCTAAATCAAAAGAAATACTAGTATCAAATAAACCACTATCAAATCTAAATTGGTCTGAACTTTCCTTCCTTCTATTTATCATATTGATGGCATATTCCAACGATGTTTCTTCGGGTAGACCAAATATCAAATCATCATTATCAATTGATTCATAAATATTAGATAGGAGTTTTGAATTTCCCAGCCAATCTATAACCTTTTCAGAATTGCTAAGTTCATCCTCAAATAACATTAACGCAGTTTTGGAGTAGTTATTTTCCGCAGCAATACGATAAAAGTAATCTAGATTTAGACTCAGATAAACCTCCATAAATATAGGAATTGATTTTTTTGCCCCCATTCTGATTTTTAGTAATGTTTGTATAAGGAATTCAACAAAGTCGGATTCATACGAGTGTAGCTTGCTGAATTCGGAAAGAAGCTTTATCACCTGCTTCGAACCTTCCTTCCCTGTAATGTTCAAATAGTAGCAAATAAAACCAGGTAAGATTGTCTTAGAAAACGAATCAACTTTAGTAGCAAAACTTGCAAATAAGGGGGCAATACTGGTAAATCTTGCCAACTCTTGTGTAATCGATAGAAATAAGCGACTTGTCCACGCTACGAACAGTATTCCTTCTAAAGATTGGCCTAAATCAGAAATTATTTCTTTGAATGTGTGTCCAAGAATGAGCAATTCATCATCATTAGAATTAAGTATAATGCAAGAATGAAAATCCAAGGGAACAATAAACAGTACATATTCGTTTTCAATCTTATCAAAATTTAAAAATTTCTCAACATCTGATCTTTTGATTTTAAATTTCCATATTAAAACACTTAATATAGATTCTGCGCAAGCTGCAATTTCTAAATTATCAGATACGACATACAGTAGAATCTCGTTCAAAATATTATTCATGCTGGATATATCACTTTCAAAAGTATCTTCAATTGGTGTGCCATTCTCTACTAGTGAAACAATATGGGAAATATTGTTATTTAAACCTCCTTTCAAATAGTATTTCGCTAAGTATTCAGCACTCCATAACCTAAATGTTTTGGAATGCCAATGCATATCATCGTTTTGATTCAATAATAATTTTACAACATTTTCGTGTACCCCAGTTTCATCAAAACGTTCGATAAACATGAAAATCAGTGATATCAATTTCATGATATGTACATTACTCACACCCGTTGTGCAAAGTTTTATTTCAGCCTCATCATTTAGAAAGAATTCAATATCAGACGTTGTCAATTCAACTGGTTCCGAATTCAAAATGTTCATACTTGCTTCAAGGATTATGTGAACTTTTCTATCCTTATTTGAACAGCTTATATATTCTTCGACCGTTTTTAAAAGATGCACATTAGTAAACGGTATGCTATCACCTACTTCAATCAAGCAAGAAACAAGTTTCACAATTATTGGCAAGAATTTAGATTCATCACACCTGCTTAGTTTTTGGATTCGAAAAATAGACAAAATATTTGCAATATCATCATGAAGATTTGATTCCTTTAAGAATGGAGATAATGTTGTAATCAAAAGGTTTGCTAAATGAACCAGAAATATATTTTGATACCCTAGAATAATAAGTAGCTTAAATTTCCTCAAACATAATAATCTTTGTTCGATATTGACTGAATTATGAAAAATTATTGAAATATGGCGAAATAAAAAATATAACACGTTTCCTTGCCAGAAAGATTTAGGGTTTACACTATACTTTTCAACAAGACCCTTTATGAGATCAAAACTAGAATGAAGTGATATTGACACCAGACCTGGGGTTTCTAAAGTTTGGGAGTCACTTTTAAAAAGTTGTAATATCACTTCATTCTTCGGTCCTAAATCTCGTATATATTTCTCATTTGACATATCAGTAAGCCTTATCACTTCAAATATAATCGAGACTAATTTTTCTTTCATCTGTAGTCGATACTGTTCCTTTAATATATCTGATAATTTCTTGAATATATCATTCCTAATACCTTCTCTTGTATATGCCAATGGTATTGCCAATGTCAAACTATCGAAAATTAGACTAGCAAGATCTGAATTTTTAACAGAAGATATCGTTTCTAAGAAACCAAAATTATTATTATTAGAATTTGTTTGAGTGGATATTGAAATAGCAGTTAGTTCTTTATAATTGGACGAAAGAAAGCTTGGTATATTATCATAATCGAACAAGCCATATGGAAATTGCATTATATCAAACCCATAGCTCCACCATGATTTTAGAATTTCATATTTTAACAAGTTAAATAAATCCTTTGTTGATTTTAAATCCAATCTTTTATATATAAGGGAAAGTGCCGCTTTAATATATGGCAAAAAGAATTCAAACCTTGAATATTCTATAAAGTTGAAAATTACAGCAATTGTAACTTGAATTGAAGCATCAGATAAGATGCAAAAGAATAAGCAAAATGTACCGCATGCTTCAATTGACTGCTGGGGAGTGTCAAAATTGAGAAAAAGTTCCTTGTAAATAGTCATCTGATTGGGGACAGATATTGACTTTAAATAGTTGACCAAACATGGGAGTATCTTGATTTTTATGTTGTTTGTCGATTTTGTAAATTTAGAGATAAAAAGTGATTTAATTTCATTATCTTCCATGATTCTCTGATCGTTATATTGTAAATAGGTAATTATGAAAATCAAAAATTCAATACTGGAAGCTTCTGTTAATATTAAATTCTTAGTACCACATTGCAATAACCAGGAACACATGTCTAAACAATCCTTCTTAAAAGCATCATCCGAACTATCGTACCATATAGGAAACAGAAGTGTAAGCAACTTTGAAACGACTATAATCGTCAATTCGTCTCTTTCTAAATCAAAATTTGTTAATGGACCTTCTCCTAAAATTCTTACAAACCTTGTCCAAGCCGTAATAGGTATCTCCGAGGATTTGATTTCACCATTTTCAAGAATTCTGCACAAATAGCAAAGACAGTATAGCACTTCCTGTGGACGCAACGATTCAAGGTATGTAACTATGAAACCAAATGTTTCGAAGGTACTGTTTTCTTTAATTTCATTTCTAATTAAAATGCATTTTAAAGCTTGAACACAATATACTTCTCCATATGCTAAATTGAAGAAATTTAATGTAGTCGATTTGGACTGAATTCGAAAACTGTTTGTCGTTTCATTTGTAGTGTTGAATTCGTCACGAAACATATCAGTATTGTTATCAAGCCGGTCTTCTTCCATCAATTTCTGATTTGTACCAATAAGTCCATTATTTGAAATTTCATAGAAAAAATTGTCCAATTCAATACAGTTCGCTATAAGTTCAATAGAACTTCGTTTCATTGACTTGAAGTTTATCCTGCTTAGCACCCCTATAAAATTAGCATTACTCGATGCATTTTTTAAGAAAGCCACTTCAAACAAGAGAGAGGCTTGATTCTGGATGGAATTAATTAGCTGATTAGGAATACCGTGATCTCTTAATAAATCTAGTGTCCTAAGTTCTAACATTGCCCATTCGAGTGCTTCAGCGTGATTCCGTTCATCTTTTAGGTAACTTTTACCAGTCTCAATTATTCGACTTAAAAGGTAATCAAAAGTCTTATTTTCAGACAAGTTGTAAAATTTAATCTCAGTCCTTAAGGACATATTGCTTTCACGCAATTTATAATTATCTAACAAGAACATTTCTAATTCATTATATGAATTCATAAATAAATCTGCTTCATTTAAATCACCACGATACGAGTTCAGCATATTCTGCTGATCGTTTTCTTCAATATCAATACCACCTAGCCAACATACGAAGTTTACAACCTCAAATGTCGAATTAATGCTAGAATACCAGAAGCCTGTATTAATATTAGAAGTTAAATCCCATTTGCAGATGAGCCAGTCTTGAATTCTTTCTGCCAATATGAAATTTCTCGAAAGGTTAATATTTCTAACAATCTTATTGATCGAATACCATAATTGAAAACTTTCTTCACAAATGGAGAAGGGTCCATTGATTTCAGATAAATCTATGAGATTATCAATTTGTAATATTAAAGATTTGTCCATTATCTTATTCAAGTCTTCGTTTGAATGACAACTGATAATTGAATAAGCAAGACTGCACGAAACCCTAGATACTTCTTTGTTTTTGATAAGTTGTAATGCAATTTTAAGCAACTGGAAGAAGAACTTTTTATCAATATGAATCAGGCGTTGTAAAGAATCATAAATGATTGCTCTAGCTACCATCAATGACCAGTAATTTAGCTCATCAGTATCAAATGAATTAAGCACATTTTTAAGAATAATATTAACATTAAAGAGTGATTCAGAATCATTTGTCAGGAGCGGAAAATCAAAAGTTGAATTAAGAAATGTTGAATCACTTATGTCTAATATGCTACTACTTTTTGTACTGGAATTGCCGCTTAATCTTATGTTATTATTATTTGTTTTACTGTTTAAAGATTTTATGTCAACCTTAGGCGAATATATTTCTAGATGAAAAGTCAAAATTTGCATTCCAGCTTGCTGTAATTTATAATCAGTTTTGTCGATGAGAAGTCTATTGCAAAACTCCAGAATATTATTTGAATGATACAATGCTTCACTTAATACACCTAGCTTTTGGCGTTTATTTTGATGGATAGTTTCAGACCTCACACCAGAGGCATTCAAAGTGTTAATAGAATTAAATATATTATGCTCATATAATGATTTCTTGAATTCGAAATATGAATTAATTAATTTTGATAACCCAGCAATAAACAACCAAGACTGAACGCTATTAGACTCATCATATGCACTAGCTCTCAAATAAATTGAACGGAATTTGAACCAGACCTTGTCATCATTAGGTATTCGAAGAAAGCATATATCTTCCGAGTTAATCTGATTGTTTGAGGAATAAAGCTTGGTAGCTAAATTTTGGATAAGTACACCGACATTATAAAGGGTTACTTCGTCACTATCACTATCTGTGATGCTATCAATAGACTGATTAATTGTGCTTGAATCTTCGCTAGATCTTATTGAAATATCTTGCCGAGAATCGGAAGGATCGTCCAGTATAATAGAAGAATCTCCAATTAGTTTTGGTAAGTTATGCAAATTTAAGAAATTATGAGTAGCAGACAAATTAAGGAATATAAGAAATTGAATTTGCAAAGAATCTAATTGTGTCTGGTGAAATGATATCATTAATTTTATTGAAATCTGGATCAATTTATTTATAAATTTAATGTTTTCGGTGCATAGCACAATAATCATCTTATTAATAACCTTGAATATCAACACTGTTAGTATGCTTTCTTTTTTAAAATATATGCATGTTTTGGAAAGAACCCTTAGAAGTTTGAAATAATTATTAGGAACAGTTGATGTTGTTAATTGCAAATAGTTCACTGATATTGATGAATCAGCTTGAATAAGGAAATGGAGTGACGTGAATATCTCAATGATCAATTTTTCATGTATGTTTAATTTGGTTAAATCGTCAAGGACAAAGTTCGACAGTTTAATAATAAGATTATAGATTTGTAACCAATCTTCATAATTTAGGTGTTCCTTGAAAAAGCCTTGGCTTGTGATACAAGATAAAATTTTTGTGAAGTCTAATGCACAAGGTTCTAATATATCATCTTCAATAAAGTAATAATTCCGTATTGAATGGATTACACTCATGTAGAATTTGTATTTTATTTTAATAGGTTTATTAGAATCTCGTAACTCTTGATTGTAATCCAACGATCTTTCTATCAACAATTTAAGACAATTCGAACCAGAAGATAACCTCAATTCAGTACTAGTTGTTCTGTTCTTTGAATAACTTATCTGTTCATTTTCAATCAATTTGAACATTGAAACAACCAAGACATCAAATTGTTTTGGATTGAGCTTGAACTTTGAGTTTAATAAGTCTTCCACTAGACTCAACCCATCATTTCTATCCTTTATCTTAGTGGATTGCAACCATGAAACAACCTTGTTAATGTCGAATGATGACATTGTACGGCATTGGGTCTTTGATTTTATTTAATAGTATGTGTAAGAAGAACCTATCAAATTTATTTGGTGATTATTTTGGTGATGTGATGAGAGTGCGCTCTTATCGAACTAACCATAAATTCCACTTTAGAATAATTGAGTGTAAGAATAAATCAAGATTGAATATGCTCTGGAAAAAAAGGCTGTCTAGCAATCATAAAATGTAACGATTGTACTTAAAGTTTGTTCGTAGGTAATCTGACATTGTTTACAAATTTTAGTTTAATGCCACTGTGACCTGCAAAATATACACAATACGAGTGATAGAACTCCTGGCACCATGGATTCGAGATCGACTTGACACGCATATAACACATTGTCGATCCTAATGTGTCCATCGAAACAAATATATTGAAATTAAAGCTTACAGGGAGACATTTAGTTGCGGGCCTATTGCCATATCTCGATATGGTAATTTGGAGTTTCTTGAAACTATATGTCATAGCATATAAAGTGAAGTGGTTATCCATTCGAAAATTATTTTGGGTAAAATACAACATGATTTTCCTTACTTCCTCCAAACCGATAGTCACAATCGGACAATCCGAATTGGAAGTCAACGAAGATTTGCTAGACTCGAATTATTGTAAATGTCATTGCGACTCTTGCAAGTTCAACTGTAAATATCGCCGGTTCTTTGCTACAACTATATTTGTTGGAATTCTTATTCCTGCATTATGGATTATCAACATCTTAATGATCCTATATAGCTGCTTCTGGTTAAAACATGACGAAATTAGGTACGATGAATATATTCATTCTCATGATCCAAAATTTGCATCCAGAAATATTGTGAATATTCCCCCACTAAACTTTAACGATGAGATCTGTGAAGCAATTATTGCACATCATGAATCCTTACGCGCTAAGACAAAAAACATGGCTCTATATTCATTGGGGTGCATAATAGTATATGGTATGTTCGTAGGACTAATAGTGTACGGTATTTTACATCCGCCAGTTTTAGTCCACTAAGTGTATAAAATTTTAATATATGAGGATTATTTCAAATCCGAAATGACTCGGCGTTTTCAGAGTCAAGATAACAATATCCGAGTCAAAAGAGATGTTCAATTATATATAATCTTGTATAACCACATGAAATATTTATGGAGATAAATAGGAGTACAAAGAAAGATAAAAATGTCAAGGGTAGTAGGTAAAAGATTATATTCAAGTGGTTCACAATTGCTTAAAACACCATTGTACGATTGCCATGTCGAATTTTGTGGTAAAATGGTCCCATATGCGGGATTTGAAATGCCTGTTTTATACAAGGGCCAAACTCACACTGAATCACATAACTGGGTTAGAAATAATGTCGGGTTATTCGATGTATCCCACATGTTGCAACATAGAATTAGTGGTAAAGATGTTGTTGATTTCTTACAGAAAGTCACTCCGATTAATTTATCTGAATTAGACATCAATTCTTCAAGTTTGTCGGTATTATTGAATGAACAAGGTGGTATCATTGATGATTGTATCATTACTAAGCATGGCGAGAATGAATACTATATGGTTTCCAACGCTGGTTGCCGTGAAAAGGACGTCGCATTCCTCAAGAAGGAATTACAAAACTTCAACGATGTTAACCATGATACATTCGAAGGTACATTATTAGCCATTCAAGGTCCAAAGGCTGCTGAAATTTTACAGAAATTCACCAATGAAAACTTAAAGAGTTTAACTTTTGGGAAATCCAAATTCTCTCATTTATCATCCATTATTAACTCTCAAGTGCATTTTGCCAGATGTGGTTATACCGGTGAAGATGGGTTCGAATTATCTATTCCATCAAGCACCGCACAAGAAACTAAGGAATCTCAAGAATTTTTCAGACTATTGATTAATGAATATCCTGATATCGTTAAGCCAATTGGTTTAGCAGCCAGAGACTCTTTGAGATTGGAAGCCGGTATGTGTCTTTACGGTCACGAATTGAATGAGTCTAAGACTCCAATTGAGGCCACCTTGGCTTGGTTAATTCCAAAGAGCCGCAGACAAGATGACGCCACCTTCAATGGTGCAAGCAACATCTTAGCTCAAATCAAAGACCGCTCGTTAATTACCCACAAGCGTGTTGGTATCAAGGCCAAGGGCCCATCTCCAAGAGACGATTGCAAAGTTTTCGCTGCCGATGGTAAAGAAGAAATTGGTTACATCACCTCCGGTGCCCCATCCCCAACCATAGGTGGAAACGTTGCCCAAGCATACGTCAAGAACGGTCTCAAGATCGGAACCGATGTCAAGATAGAAATCAGAGGCAAGTTGAGAGATGGTGTCATTAGTAAGATGCCTTTTGTACCAAGCAATTATTATAGAGGTTAAATTTAAAACATATATAAGCACTCAAATATACACCTAAAAGACAAATCGTCCTACCACCGCATAAAATCCCCAGAAACACTGTATGCAGCCGTATAAAATGTATCCGATACGGGTTAGTTAAATTCGTGATAGTCTAGCTCGTCAAATTTTATATGTATAACTGGAAAAATTATAAAAATTGCACCTACCCGAGTCGCGTTCATTGCGGAAATATACGCTGCACCATACTACTCTACACTTCATAAAACCCCAGTTAGAAGACCGTCTACAATTCAAATGAAGTTACCTCTAGTATCAGAATTTAATAAACGTATCTTATGGGGAAAGTATATATTAGAGTAAGGAATCATTTATTGTAATAATATATCTATACGTATATATATATATATATATAGGTAAAAGGAAGCGCGTTTTAAGTGCAATTATATAATCAGAGTAACGGTTGCAATCGGCAAATATTGCGGTACGAAATAAATACTGAACAGACGTTAGAATCACGATTTTACATATCGTAATGACCGTGTAAAAGGAGTTATTCTACATCGCTTAACAGAATATTATACCCTTTTCATATTTTATAAAAAAGATTGAGAAGATTTATATATGTATAAATATATTTTAAGTTGCTAAGTAATTTGATATATTGATTTACAGAATTATACCTGGTTGGTCTTATTAATTTGTTGCTGTTATAGATATCTAATATTTCTCTTATAATGTCTTCCCCTAAGCACAGGCCTATTTTATCACCAAAACACTCGAATTCGAGAAGTGCATCACCTATTAAGAATGAAAAGGGCTTTATGGCACAGCAAATTGAATCACCATATAACAACCAGCGTATAAGACTTTCATACAATAACAGCCATAACATATCACCCACGAAAAAGCCCCAGGTTAAGAAATTTGTGTCGCCTACAAAAACACGTCCATCTAAGGAGTTGAGCTTCGCTATTTTTGAGGACAATGTGTACTACAGAGACACATTAGCTGATGACAATAAACCAGACAACGAAACCTTTGGAAAAGAAAATGACAGTATTGAAACCGTACTGGAGGCTTGTAATAAATTAAACCACAATGACCAAGAGAACATCTTACAACCTAAAATCAAACAGAGCACATTCAAGCAAGCCTGTATTGCTAGAAGAAAGCCCTTGTCTAACTTGAACATCAACGAATTTTCTGGATACGTGACCTACAACCAGTTCCCTGTACAATTGACTGACTTGTACCAGCCACCGAATTTTCAGAACGAACAGAAGTCAATTCACAAGTTCAACAACAAATTGCCCTGCTTTGTAACTCCACCTAGATCTAACTTGCAAAATGGCCTCCTCACATCTAAATATCTTGTTAAATCTGCGATTGAAGAAGAACCCTTTAACGAGGAGGATGAGGTAGAGCATCATTTGATGCAAAAACACAACTCTATTAAGAAAAGAAGATCGTTATCTGTTGGAAAGAACGACTCCAAGTTAAAGTTGATTAAAAAGAATAACTTTCAAATCTTGACTAACTAACCAATTCCCTTGCATTAATTTTTTATTTATTTCTACTATATTTTATGATACCCAGTTACGTTCTTATTATTTATGCTTGTTATCTAGAGAACTAGACAGCTTCATGACATCCTGATACCCTTTTTAGTTTCGATATATTATGATTTGTATTACTTTATACCCCATATTATATACAGTATTTTGACCTTGAGGTTTTGTGTAATATTATTTCAAGTGTCGATGAAAAATTCAACGTGAGTACGAAATTAACCCTACATTGATCACTTTAAGCAAGTAGTCATGTCAAATTCTATTGTCCAAGCATTTAAGAGCTTGAATGTTTCTTCGGCACATAGTGTATCGGAGCATGAAACAATATACGATGTATCTTACCAATATTTGTCAAATATCAAAGAGTTTAATGACTTAATATCTTTTCATAATTGTCTTGTTGCATTAATTAATTTAGATAGATATCACAAAGCTCTTGAATTGATCAGACAAGTTCCAGAGGATGTGCATATCGAATTTGTCCTTGAAAAAGCATATATCTATTACAAAACCGGCAACTCTAGATTATTGTTAGACATCTACAATAGCAATGATTTTTCCAATAACCCTATATTGTCGAGAGCTTTGAAACACATCTTAGCGCAAGACTACTATAGAAACGGTAATAATGCAAAAGCCTTAGAATTGTACGTGCAATTGATTCAATCTAATAAGGAGATTGATAATTCGTTGGACTTATCATGCAATGAAAGGGCAATTATTCACCAACAGAACTTAATGGATTCTATTGATATCCCATCGTTGACTAATTCTTCAATTGAGGAATCATACGATTTATTATTTAATGACTCTTTAGTTCATTTGTCTAAAGGAGAATATGCTACTGCATTAGTCTTACTTAACAAGGCAGAACAGAAATGTCAGGATCAGAGTGACTTATTGCACGAAGATGTGTTGTTGGAGTTGGCTCCAATAAAATTAACTATAGCTTACATTTACCAATTTACTAATAAGACGGAAGAAGCATTGAAAATTTTAAAGGAATTAGAACTTGAACCAATTAATGATTTAATTGTCAAGTTGATCTTATCAAATAATCATTTTTCAATAACGGGTAAGAACAGCGATAATCTTAACTTTATGCATCGTGAATTAAACTACCAATATAACTTACATCACTTACAACAAAAGTTAACAAAGCCACAATATCATGTTTTAGTTAAGAATCACTTGTTATTGTCATTCTTTTCAGGAAGTTTATCAAATAAGTCTTCCTACTTAAATTCTAAATCAATAAATCAATGGTTAGATGATTTCCCGGGTGATTACACACCTGTTATGTACAAGGTGCTAATCAAGTTAGGTATCGATATTAACGATATTTCAAACTCGTTAAATCACAAGCAAATTTCAAAGAAATTATTTAAATTTGTCTCAGCCAATAACGTGGACCAACAGGTAATTGCAGCTACATTGTTATTGGTTTTCATAAATTCAAAGCAAAATCGTTTTGATCAATCTATGATTGCTTTGGAAAAAATAAGCAATTATCAATTCGACAACGAAAAAGTTTTGCCAGGGTTGATTGGTATTTTGATTAAGCTCTATGAGCAACTAAACTTGACCAAGAATTTGGAAGCATTATTTAGTAGACTTGTGGAGCATTTTACGGGTACTGATCAAAAATTAATCAAAGACGATATAAATTACTACGACTTTGTCAAGATCATTGGGTTCAAATTATTGATTCTTCAAAATGAAAGTTCATCTAAATTGTTTAGCTTATTAAATAAGGTTAATCCTGATGATGAGCTTGTTTCCACCGTTTTAAATAACTCCTCCCCCTCAAATTTATCACCAATTTCAAAATTAACCTCCTCCACCCCATCAGTCGACGAATTATTAGCAACAAGTATCGAAACCTTGATTCCAATCAGAGAACAACAAAAACCTATCACCAAACTAAAACCTGCTGTAAACAAGGTCACGAAGAAAACCAGGAAACCAAAATTTTCTTCCTCGAAGGTTGTGAAACCTGAAGCAGAATTTAATCCTGAATCGTTAGACAAGGAAAGATGGTTACCTATGAAGGTTAGATCTTACTACAAACCATCTAAGAAGGAATTAAAGAAGAAACTGGGCGGACATCAAGGTGCTGTAGAAACCCAATCTGCTGCGCCAGTTACTGCATCAAATGCAACCAATACAAGTTCTAATAAAAACAAGAAGAAGAAAAAGAAGGGAAAGAAATAAGTCCATCTTGTCTGATTTCACCATTTACATAATATTTAATAAACATTCTAGTAAATACGATGTAGTATGCACACTTAAAGGCCTGCAAGTTGGGAATGGTAGGCTTCAAAATCATATGCAGATTCGATTGGTTGCAGTGATATTTTTGATGGCATCATTTACATGCTTTGTAGATCGATTGCCATAAAGAGGAGTATTGTAATCTATGATTATCCAGGTTAATATATAATTTCATTTTGATTAGCGGAACATGCCCAATTAGGAATCTACATCCCGAAACGGCAGTCTCCAAATCAAGTAATGCGTACCGAGAGCATATCTATGGTTATCTCTTTATAAAAGGAGCTATTGAACGAACAAATAGACGTAAAACTTCATAATATACAAGTCTACCAATTTCATTTTGCATTCATATCACGGTGGATATGGCCATAAAAGTTAAAATAGCATAGATTTATAATCTCAATAATTTTAGCATGTCAATATCTACAGGTGACAAATATCATTCAAAAGCGGAAACTATTCCAAATACGCTCCGCTACAGAAATATCAGGATACTTGTTGTCGAAGATACAAAGAAAGCCGCAAAGACTTTATTCAAATCATTTAGAGAGGATGCTTTGGCAAATTTACTAGTATCGCATGTCGAAGATCAAAATGAGAAAGATATATTAGAGTTAACACTATATGAGGCATACGTGAAGCAGCATATTTTGAAAGGAATTGTGTTAGGAATCAACGAGACAGATGCCGGTTTTGAGACTGTTGGTGTATGGTCCACTCCTGACTCGTTGAAGGCAGGTTTAGATTCATTTTCAAATTTGATGGAAGCAGGTTATGGCAGATTATGGGAAATCAATAACGAAGAAGGTCGCCAGAGAATATTTAATGGAATGTTACCATTATTACACGATACATGTGAAAGAATATTAGAAACAGACTCCAGGTTTAGAAACAAAGGTGTTTACACACTAGTATACTTAGGATCATTAGAGAGTGCTCGGGGAAAGGGAAATGTAAGATTAATGTTCGATTATATGTTTGAAAACTATATTGATAAGTCACCAAATAATGTATCATATTTGGAAAGCTCAAGCAAAAGCAATATTCCCATTTATGATAAATTCGGATTCAAATTTTACGAGGATATAATGCTAGGTTCTAAAGAATCCGAAAACAGCATCGAGGGCAAAGATTATGCAATAATGAATGTAATGATTCGGGGGTCATCGGGCCATGACTGGACTCAAGATGAAAATACAGGTAGTACACAAGCTAAATTGTAATCATTAATTAAATATATATATACAAGATTGAAATATATTGACTTATTCGTCGAGCGATAAAACACTTTGTTGCGAGGGTAATGTTTTGTTAGCAAATTCTTCCTTAGCCTTAACTCTCAACTCTTCTTCTTGCGCTTCAGTTAATGGTTTAACAACCTCGTCTGGGGCAACAAATTTGAAGTTTCCAAAACCAAATTCTCTGTCACTCATTTTGTTTAACACGTATAATTGAGATCTCACGTATTCAAGTAATGCCTCAATATGTCTCATATCTGCATTCGGGTTACCATTAAAGACATTTCTCCACAATGCACTTGCCAAAGTGATATCGTCAGTCATCAAACCTTCGTCATAAGACAACACTGAACCCAACAACTGAGTGTGGAAATCCTTCAAATATCCCTCGATAATTCTATTGGAGTTGATTTTCAATTCTTCAGACATTCTCAATTCCATGTCGCTGAAAATTCTATCCACCAATTTCTGCTGATAGTTTCTTCCATATTTAAAAGGCATAGCTCTCATTCTCACGGATAAAATCCAATAATGTAATGCAGTAATTTGAAAGTGTTGTGCAAAGGATTGTGGTAAATTTAACGTTTCGTAATAAAATTTAGCTGTATTGGAAAGAGGTTCATTTGGATAGTGCATACCTTGTCTTTTACATTCTCCAAAATATTCTGAACCGGCAACAGGTCCTGCTCTAGAACGATCCATATCTATCTTAAAGGCTTTGACAATCCACTGACCAATGTTTTGTTTCCATTGAACCATATGAAAATTTGGGTCATTTTCGATTTTATTTGAGGACTTGAAAGGAGATTTAGCAGTTGGTTTACGTGGGGGCTTCTTGGAATTTGAAACTTGAGGAACTTTTGGTAATGTTGATTCCAGAGCTAATTTAGATGGGGCACTTATTTCATTATCTTGAAGTTGATTTAAAAAATTATTCTTATTTTCAAATCTGATTATTGAGCTAGTTGAAAGATGTCTATTGATAACAATAGCTCTCTTATATATTATTGAATATTGGCTTAACATAGTTTTATTCCCTAAATTCTTTTGATAGTATATGATCATTGGTTTTTCTAATTTTTCATAAGATGAATCTGAGAAAAAAAAAAGAATTGCTTATATAAGCTAGCTTGATATATTAGCAGCTAACATCTTACTCTATGTTCATGGCATTTAAGCCAGTCATTCTGAATGATATAAAAGATATGTTACTCTTTGTAGATGTATTGAGAGATCATGTACATTAATAGTTGATATGTATTCATATATTTAGCAAAACATGCTCAGATAAATCTTAAATTCCCGACCTAGAAAGCTATTCCATAAATTCATGTAGTAAAAGACTAAATTGCAATTACGCTAGGGAATACTTAGATCGTGTTCTTGAAGATTCAAGCGTATTTCACAAGAAGATAGAATGTTACTTATTGTGAAAGAGATGCTTCTCGAAAGGATTTGGAACTTGTTGGATCTATTCTTGACATTTTAATTGTACGTATAAGTACCACTCTTTATTAAATTACCTTTGGATTCGAAATACCTACCTATTTCAAAAGGTAAATGTGTTCCTGGTTGATATAGTTATACTAGACCGTAAGCTTTTGGGATCAATCTCAAAGATAGGTAATAAGAAACAGGCACATGTCTCAGGATTCCATAAAATTTAGCAAAGGGGTTGCTTTTCTATCTAGTGACGACATGTTCCCAGTCAGTCATAGTAGCATTTGAAACATATTGCAACGAAATTTTTATTTGTTTAATTGTTCATTAAATTATACTTTGAGCTACATGATGCATAGTTGCGTATTGCCTGTTCTAGCATTCGCATAATTTCTGGACTTGGAGATTGAGAGCCTTTAAAAGTAAGAACAAACAGAATTCAACTCAAGCCCAAGATTAAGAACTATAATCATTGGGATATTGGGATAGGAGGCTCTATCACTTTGTTTGAATTGGGCCCCCTATCTCAACCAAAACCCAAGTGGTTGGGCTTCAATTTAGTGGCGTTCATGCTATTAAATCAATAAGCATCCGGATAATTCCCAATTTGTCAAAAACGTTCGGAGATAATTTCACATTCAAATGCCACTGTGACAAATAATTACCATTAGAGCTGAAGCTGTCATTACTAATGCATATTCAAGAAATGGTATAAAAGAAGACATGATTGCCAGTTGAAACTGAAAAACGTATTGAAAAGTATTGAGAAGTGTTGAATACAGATACATTAATACAAAGAAGTTAGCAACAAAAATAATTACAGAATGACAAAGCAAACAGTTTATTTAATTACAGGTGGAAATAGGGGTATTGGGTTTAACTACGTTAAGCAAATCAGTCAAAGGGAAAACAGCGTGGTAATCACCACTGCAAGAAAGCCAGAAGAGGCCACTGAATTGAATCAGTTGATTAAAACTAATCCTAATGTTCATGTTGTCGAGTTAGATGTTAGGTCGAAACAAAGCAATTTGAATGCGGCAACCGAAGTTGCAAAACTCGTTGACGGAATTGATGTCTTTATTTCTAATGCAGCTATTGCAGATAGTTATAAGACTGTTTTAGAAGCTGATGAAGAAGTTTGGACTTCTCATTGGAGAACAAATGTTCTTGGAACTATATTTCTGTATCAAGCCTTCTATCCTCTTATTGCAAAAGGAAACAAGAAGCAGATTATATTTATATCTAGTGCTGGAGGTTCAATTGGAGGCTTCTTCGAAACAAGTATTTCTGCCTATGGTCAATCGAAGGCTGCTTTGAATTATACTGCCAAGGAAATTAGTTTCGAATTACGTGACGAAGGGTTTACTGTAGTGGCCATTCACCCAGGGATGGTTACCACTGATATGGGAATCTATGGAAAAGAAAATATTATAAAGTCAACACCAGAGCTTAAAGAAGCAATCGACTCCATGGTCATCACGCCAGAGACTAGTGCTTCATCCTTGCTTAGTGTATTCGATAATTTAAGCCCGGATGATAATGGAAAATTTATTGGTCATGATGGCTCTGAGATTCCTTGGTAATATTATATTAGTCTTATATAGTTTTCAAATGCATATATGGAATACATTTTATATGAGTTTATATTTTAATCAAGATATGTTTTGTAAAGAATAAGTATAGATATACGCTATGATTTGAAATATTAAATACTATAATGATCTTTATGTGAAACGTATCCTAACAAAAGAAACTGAGACTTCATATTTTTCTAATATTCGTGTATCGCGTTTACTCTGAATAGTAATTCATCTATTTTATTTTCTATATTTCTATATTTCTAGTCAACCTTGATTCCTTCTATGGCTTGAGCAAGTCTTCTGATTTCTGCATCTTTGTTATCTTCGACTTTTTCATCATAGTTAGTCCAAGAATTGTAACGCCAGTTATTTTTGGTGTAGAATGTATCTCTATCATAAGGTGTCAAATCCCAGCCTTCGTATAATCTCTTGACTAAATCAGGATTAGATGTA